CCTCTCCCGCCAACGGGAAATGGGTTAAAAAAGCACCCGTTCCTATGCAATTGAGTAACTTAAATGTTTTATACTGAGGGTTTTTATTTTTCTTTTTTTTTTTTTAAACCTTGCTGTGGTGTTAAGCCTTTGCTGATTTTATTTTGCAATGGATATAGTTCACTTGCAGACATATATGTATATGGTTATTGTGTGAAAGACAACCAGCAACTGCTTTTTTTAGGATTTTTAATATATTAGATTTTTAATATTTTGTTGATATTACAAAGAGTGGAAAAGACTTGGTTTATTTCATAGTAGGAAAGGTATTATTTGCATTGTCTTGTCCTTAAAATATTATTTGCAGATATAGTTATATTGAGAGAGATTAAATGCAATGTTATAGTAATGTTGCTTCTTTTTGGATGGTCTTTGGCTATAAGTAATAGCTCTTGTAGGTATTGTCACATACCCAGTAGCATTAATGGGTCAGTAGCTTCCTCTGCTGTTCCCTGCCCTCAAGACTAGTGGAGTATAACAAAAAAATCTGTACATGCCTACTTAGCGATCCCATTGAGTTTAATGGGGCTCACTTCCAAGGCTTGCAACTTTACTTAAATAACAAGATCTCACCAGGTTATTTCCTCTCCCGCTATTGGAAGTGGGTTCTAGGCCAATTCCAGACACCCCTCAGTAATATGGAAAAGCGCTCCGGTTAGCCCCCTAGGAGCACCCTCCCGCTGCTCCATTACTCTGTAATGGGTAATGCTAAGGTAGTTTTATCACTTAGATAAATGAAGAATGAAGCCTGACGTCTCTGTATTGGTTTTATGAAAAATTCTCTTTCAAAGAAAAGTATTACAGACTTTGAACTGAGTGTATGTGGGATGAAGAGGCTTGTATGTGAAGTACCTGAACTATTAAGCTGAAATGCTAGGATTTTAGTTGCTGTTTTACTGTCATTTTAAGTTGAGAGCTATGGAAGGGAAGAAAAAAGAAAATGAAGGTTCACGATTCTGCCAGGTCCTACATTTTCAAATGCATTATATATAATATAAAGGTCAGAGCATCCTCTTCTAGTATTAGTTCACATCTGCTGCAAATTTTAACAGCTTATAATTCTTTGTAATTCATGGAATATATGAACTAGACTTTTCAGAAGAGTAATATACAAAATAATGAGACTGCAAAGTAAGAGCAGTTTTGCTTTGCAAAGTCACATAATTTAATTGATAAATGCATCAAAAAATTCTAACTTAGGGCACAATCAAGTCCTGCCTTTATCCCCCAAAATAGCTCATATTAGACATGAATATTGGAAATAACTTATGTACATAAGTAAAACTCCTGAATAGCCAAGTCAAGCTGGGTTTAAAACTGCAATCTTAGTTTTATACCAGGAAGGATATATAAGGCATAAACATCTGTTATCCTGGCTTTGTAATTCTCTCTGAAATGTCTGTTGCAGGTTTTAGATCCAGCATGGCTGTCAGCCAGCCCAGTTTGAATAGAGAATATGTAGGTGTGCTCTTAACAAAACAGCTTAAATGCAAACTGAAATGCAGGAAGCAAGGACGACAGAATGATATTTCTGACCTAGTATTTAGTATATTTCAAAATGATAATTACAGGAAGGAGAAAGGGTTTAATTATTTACTTAATTATTATGTATTGGCATGGTCTTTCGCAGCAAGATTTTTCTGTAAAATAGAAACTTTTACTGCACGATTACAAGTGATTTGAGCACTTAATGCAGAGGGACTTTTAATGCCCAACTTGTTGCAACCTGCTTGACTGATTTTGTACAGGAACAGAGCACTGTATTCTTGGGAGTGTGCTAATATAAATGATACAGTCAGGAATACATGTAATTTCTTACCATCAGGATTAGCTGGAAAGGAGTTTGTGCCTATTTATAAAGGGCCACTGGTCAGCTGTCAAGGTTCAGACAGTCTTCTGACAGTTAAACCTGTCCCTTGATCATAAGCTAAAGTCTTCTAGTAAGGCATCTAGAGTACTTTCATTATGTATAATATAAACGTTCATGTACACAATTCCCTAAAACAAGGGGAATGAATGTGTGCCCTTCACAATACCCATCACCCCAATCATTTTGGGAATCCAGCTACTAGAAGGCCAGAGCTTCTTCAACCATGCCCTGAAAAATAAATAGGTGATTATAACAAACTACTGCTGTGGAAAATCACAATAAGATGCATTGTTCTTGTATGCACAGATGGAAATAAAAAGAGCATCCTTGTACTGAGCCTGGCATTTAAACAGATTTCACAGCATCCAGTGAAATTCTAATGAGTCGTTTCCCTGAACATCTTGACATTTCTTCCTGAAACTATCCATTTTTACGTGTGTAATTAGCTTTGACAGCCATCCAAAATGCCACATAGTATTTGAAGGTCTGCTTAGGGAGCAAACCTATGCATGTTTAGACAGAAAAAAGTATTGTAACATAGTTGTGGAAAGTTGGGCTTTGTAGGATTTTGTTTCAACATGCATAGGATTTTACCCTTAGTTCCAAATTCAGCTTCTGCTGCCTCAAAACCTATTGAACAAGCCCTTTAGAATCCCAGCCCACAAACATGGGAAGCCCCTGGTGAGTGTTGAAACTAGAGCAGAACCACAAACAAGTTACCTAAAATACCATTCTAGAAGTCATTTGTTTTTATGTTTTTCACTTACACGTTACAAATACAAGCGAGGAAACAAAGTTCAGTGAGTTCGGGTGATACGAGAACACGGCATGGAATTGCAATAGAAGGCAAAAGTGAACCCTTGAAAATTGGTGGCTTCAAGTCTCTTCACTCAGCTGCACTGCAGGGACCAGTGTAGCTGTTTCTACTGCTGTAGTGAATCAAATTCTGTTCTTGTTTCAGCAGCCTGTTGCTTCAAAGGCAAATTCCTTTTAGAATGCCAGTTAGCAAAGCTGTTATGTAGAACCAGGAAATACAGTTCATGGTATACTTTGGTAATTATGCAATGCTAAGGCACAAGACTCACCTGCCTCCCTACCTGCCCTTAGCAAGTGTGTTTTCCTCACACTATGCCAGCTTAGCTCTAGAGCAGGGGTATGAAAACTTTTCAGCTAAAACAGCTGAATCCCAATCTGGAGGAAGGCTCCAAACCTTGTTTAACTGAAGTAAGCAAGACTCAACTACTAAGCAGTATGTTGAAATAGCACCCCAAATATCAAGCCTAGGCATAGCTACTGACAAGCAAGCAGGACAAGGCTCAGATGGGGAAAAGACTGAGCCTTGAATAGTTTCTTCCTCTGTCCTTCTCCCCGCTGCTCAGCAGAGGTGCAGCAGCTGAGCAGAACTTGGCAGAAAGGGCATTGATGGGGCCAGAGGAAAAAATGCTGGGTCATTCCTGCCTTAGGGCCAGGGATTGTGATGGAGCAGAAAATGAGCAGAACTTGCTTCCCGTTTAGCCAGTATGAGGAGCTACTACAAAGGGAGGACCCTGTGAAGCCTGCCACCACATTCCATGCTCTCAGGCAACTGCTGTTCAAGTCATCACTTTCTTGTTAATTATTGCAGAAGTAAAAGAACTTCCATTTTTATCCACACGGATGTTAAGATTTTCTGACTAGACAGGCTTCCAGTGCTAGGTGACCTGTTTATTCCCACAGGACTTTTAGTAATCAATTTTGCTGGTGGTTTTACTTTGTTTGCAGTTCTTATTTTGTAGTTTTTAATGTTTGCGAGTTTAGTGTACTGTATACCACCCAGAACACTGTTCAGCAATTTAAAAGCACAGTAAATAAATGATCAGACTGTATGTTCTATAAACACTTCGACCTTTAAGAGCATAAAAATTGGTAGGATATTCCACATCATCCAGCAAATTGAGACTGTGTACCATCAAATCAGGATGCCCCAATTAGACCTCCTCCTTCAAGATAGCACAGAACTTCTGGCATTTTGTGCTATCAAGAAAGCCAAGATTTGACATATGTACTGTCCAACTTATGACTATTTGTGAAGCGTAAACTGAAGCAAAAAGGTCAGGATGTGGATCTCAGCAATCTAACAGAGCCAGTGAAGCTGCTATCTCAATATTCTAGCCTGAATCTGCAGAAGCATCTAGGAACCAGGACTGATAACAGAGTAACTAGTTTCTGAACCAAACCGAAACCAAACTGGTATTAGGTTTCAAGGAACTATGTTTTTGCAAATTTAAAAGAACCTGCTTTTCAAGCAGATGTTTTCTCCCCTACTGTACAAACAAACAGCCAGTCATCCATTGTCATGTAGGGAAGGAAAAGTGAGTGAGGTATGTACAGGCAATAGGAACATTGATATGTACTCAAGTTAGATTCATCTTCTGGTGGGTAAGCAAAGAAAGCACCACCATTCTCCCAGCTTGCTGCATCTCATTCTTCCCCATCCCCTTTTCCTTGTGTGTCATCTTGACAGTAATCTGCTTTAGGAGCTATTTTTGTTTGAACAGGATGAAAATACTTTAAACAATACATGTAGAAAAGTCAAGAGAGTTCTTTAGTGGGTAATGTCGTCTTCCTTTTTGGAACTTGTAACTGGGCTTGCTGAGCAATTATCAGATTTGGGTTACGCCAGTTTGTCTTCCTATAGTTTCACCTATACTGTGGCAATGTACAAGAAAATGTTACTTTGGGAATAGTGGCATGGCAAGAGTAGAGAAGGAAGTGTTGGACCTGCCTAACATTTCAGAGAGAAAGGGGAACAAAAACAGCAATAAAGATGTGTGCGGCAATATAAATATCTAAAATGCATTCTACAGGTGAAGCCTATACCACTTATGACTAAAACTTTACTAGTAAAGTCTTAAATTTTGAGTGTCTGTCTTTTAAGCTTTTGTTTAGTTTAATTTTTGATAACTGACTAGAAACTCTCGGCTATTGGGCAGCACAAAAATGAAATTAATGGTAATCTTTCAAGGTACCAAAATAAAATCAAGACAGATCATGAAATTTATTTACAGTTAGAGAATCCAAAAGTACTGCAAATACGACACTGACTAGGAAAGAGAGTGAACCATTTATTTCACTGTTAAGAGCATGATCTTGTATGCTGGCTAATACAGTTTTCAAAGTAATGCCAGTCACGCACCACACGAATAAGGACAACAGCTATTTAATCATCATCACCAAGCTTCTTGATCTTGGACTTATGACGTTCAATTTCCTTCTGCAGGCGTTCTATTTCTTTCTTATGATGATATATTTCCTCTTCATGATGCTTTCTCAGATTTGCCAATTTTTCTCTCTCTGCCTCCCTGCAACAGCATGACATGAATAAAGCAGATTACCAGTGCCCAGCCATCAAATCTCAGCTAAAGGCAAGTTGTACAAAAATAAAGTGAAGCCTCTGCAAATAGCAGTTCAGCCCCCACCTAGACAAGCAGTCTTTCATTACCAGACTTGTGCAACACCCGGGATGGCTTACATACTTCATACAGCAGTCAGTCAGCAGATACAGCTATGATTTTAAAAGCCTGGCTCATCCACAGAGTTCACAATGAGCAAAGCCTCGCCAAAGAATTTTATCATAATTATTCAGTTTGCTCACCATTAGCCCCTTATATCCTGTCTTTCTTAAGGAGCTCAAGGCAGCATAAACGATTCTCTCACCTTCGCCCACTCCCTGCCATTTTACCCTCATGACATGTGCAAAGTACTGCAAAAAGAAAAATAATGGCCTTGGGCTAGTCTATTAACAGGCTCCCTGGCTAAGCACAGACTTGAACCTGGACCTTTCCTGCCATCCTAGACTGACACTAACCTCGCCTACACCAACCTGGTGCCCTCCAGCTGTTTTGAACTTCAGGTTTGGGAAGGCTCACTCTACATTGGTTATCCTAAAGCAGACCTCTTATTTTGTCCTGCCAAGCTCACTGCAGCTCACTAGCCACATAAGGCAGCTTGCTAAAATGTGCATCATTACTGTCCTCCCTGGACTGCAACATCAAGAGACAAAGATATAGCTGGTGGGCTTCGTTTGTGAAAGCTTCTTTTAAAAAGTTGCATACGCTAATTCCCTGAAACAAAGTAGACAATGCAATTCTGGAAGAGAAGTGCAGCAACCTGAATGAATAAATCTTACATTAAGTGACATGATTTGTTGGTCCTGGTGGAGATAGCAATGGTATTGTTGTATTGTTTAATAAAGTTTATTAGCAATGTTTAATTATGTTCATTGTTATTATATGAATTGTACTGTTTGTTAGTTTAATAAAAATATAAAAAGTATTGTGCAGATCAGTGACAGGTGCTCCATTTCTTCAAGTATCAACTGGAAATATTGAATATTTATATATTGCCTTACTTGTTGAAAAGCCATCAAGGTGCTCCAGAGCAATTTAAAACAAAGGCTTAATAAAATATTAAAAACAGCAAAACTACTAAATAAATTAAAATACTTGATTAAAAGGAAGCCTCTTCACACTCTATCTAAAGGAATAGGGGCCAGTCACAAGTTCTTGGAGTGCATATCATGATTTGAGAGTAACATAGGAAAAGACATTTCAGGCATGTGCAACCAACATGCCTCTAATGGGTATTAGAGCCCTTAAAAGGACCTCTCCCTGCAGATCTTAATACCTGAAACAGGTTCATAATACAATAAAGGTAAAGGTTTCCCCTTTAAGTCCAGTCATGCCTGACTCTAGGGGGTGGTGCTCATCTCCGTTTCCTAGGCGAGGGAGCCAGCATTTGTCTGCAGACAGTCTCCGTGGTCATGTGGCTGGCATGACTAAACACCAAAGCACATGGAACACTGTTACCTTCCTACCGAAGTGGCACCTTTTTATCTACTTGCATTTGCATGCTTTCGAACAGCAAGGTTGGCAGGAGCTGGGATGGAGCAACAAGCACTCACCCCGTGTGCAGATTCGAACCGGTGACCTTTTGATCAACCAGCCCAGCAGCACAGCAGTTTAAACCACTGTGCCACCTGCATTCCTTCATAATGCAATAGGAGCTGGTCATTCAAGGGACCATCTAAGCCATTTAGAGCTTAAGGCTTATGACCAGTATCTTGAATTGGGTCTAGAAAGCAACTGGCAACCAATGCCAATCTTTCAGAACAAGTGTAATAGGAACTGCTTAGCAATGTCGCTCCATCATGCTGCACCAGTTGTAGCTTCTGGATACTCTTCAAACACTGCAACAGTAACCAAGGCACTGTTAACTGTTCCAGCTCACACAGACTGAAAACAGGACACAACTGCAGTACCAAACATAATTGTTTTGCTACTACCACCTTCTGAAGTTCCAGGAAAAGCATAGAATGAAGGAAAGCTCCCAAGCAGATCACCCAGTACTTACGTATTTACTTAAAAGCAATTCCACTGAGTTAAAAGGGCCTCAGAGTAAGCATGCTTGAAACTACCTATTACAAGAAGCAGCTTGTTGCAAGGCCCATACACCTAGCTGTTATGAAGAACAGCAGAGTGGGTAACAGAGCAATTTTGAGTGCGAGAAATTGCAAGCATTGAAGGAGAAATACAATGGATTGTCTCTCTGCACCTGCTTTGTTTTTTCTCACATCATCTTATTCCAGCCTATCCTGTAACTGTTGGGCAAGGAAAAAAGAAAAACATGACATATGGATGCATCTTGCACACTTCTACTGCACACATGCAACAGTGAAGCCAAAAGTACATAATAGGAACCTGTGACATTACTCTGCAAGCTCAAAATACAGCAAAGTACAATGACTTTATAAAATAAACAACACCTGGGAAAGCAAGAGTAAGAAAGGGCATTTGCATGTAAGCATCAATAAAAACTGAACATCTGTATAGTATTTATACTGGATTAATTCCATCAAGCCACAGAAGAGGGAAGGAGGTAAGCAAGATCATCATGAGCCCTCCTGAAAGGCCAGCTTCATTAGGCTATATATCACTAGCTGCCATCTAGCATCATTCCACCAAACTGTAGCTAAATGCTAGACCCAAGTGGGCCTACTCGTGCAGGTCAACTGAGAGTACAATGCCTTCACATTATGAGATGTTTCCATTTCAGCTAAGTCATACTAAGTCATGCACCAACTTTCAGGTACATTACCTCTGTTCATTATAAGAACCACATAAAATTAATAAATGGTTCTACATTCGTTTACATTCTTCCCTGTTCTCCTTTTCCCCTTTGCCTTTAATCTTTTTAGACTACAAAGCTGAGAGCAAGAGCTGTCTTGTTTTTATTGAACTGTAAGCTGCTCTGGAAGCACAAAATGTAAATGCTTTGAATAGATGTATAAATTGTAAACATTCCAATCACTTCACATGCATTCTTTAGCTTTATCCCTTAAAACAACCCATAAAAATAAGTCAGCATTTAACACCTCTTTCCACATGGCATTGTAGATAAGGCAGAATGAAGAACTGGCAGAAGAGGGGACTTGTCTAAACTCAGTTCATGGCAGAGCCGAAATTACAACCAGGAATGTCAGAGTAATGGCTCAGTCTTCCAGCCCTTAGGAACACTATTTATGTCTATTAGTAGGACTGAAGACCCAAGCAGTAATGCCAAGGGCGGGGGTGTGGGAGCGGACGCAAATTATGAAAGAGATACCTGAAATAGCGCTCTTCCTCGGCCACTTGCCGTTTTCCAAAGGCGCCTCCCGCTTCACGAATGGTTCCGCCTCCGCCTCCGCCTTTCCCAGCACCTTTCCCCAGCTCTCCCAGCTGAGGAGAAAAAAAGGAATGGGAAAGGGGGAGCCACCAGGCCCCGGCCTTGCTCTCCGACCCGCAGGCCCCAGCCGAGCCCCTCCGCCTGCATCTCGTTACGGATGGTGGCAACAGCCCCACGCCTACCGCGGCGAAGCCTCGCACCCGAGCCTGCCCTACCCTGCCCTTCGCACCCCACCTGGACTGGCCGTACCTGGTCGGAGCCCGAGCTCCAGGCTCGCTGCTGCGACGGAAAAGCCACGGCTCCACGCAACCCGGACCTCAGCGCCGCGCCAACGGCAGCCATCTCCGCTCTGTCCTTGGCCGGGGGTGGGAATCCACCCCAAACTGCACCGGAAACGCCCTCCTGGAAACACTGGAACAGGCGGGGCTAAGGACGGCGAACGGACCGATCAGGGCAAAGACGAGAGAATAAATTGACCAATCAACGTTGCACGGGGAAGGTCAAACGGAAAGGGGAACCATAGAGACTCAGGACCAAAAGGAACTTCACTGACTGAAGTTCCGGTGTCAAATTGAAAGGCAATTCTTTAATTGGGACGGTGGAAGTTTGTGGAAGAAGCGGTGTAGCTCTTAAATTTAGCTATTCCGGTGTGTTGTTTTTTTATTCTTTCAACTGTTTTTGCAATCCGCGCCTGTTATTGAGCAGATTGAAATATAATAGATTATAAATAAAAAATAAATGATGGCATGGTAAGGACGGCCAGGTCAGTCAGTCAGTCAGTCAGTCAGCAGTAGCATTACTTTCAGCCTGAGGGCTAAATTCAAATTTAGACAGACTCTCGGGGGTGGGGAACACGTTCTAGTGGTGTATTGAGCCAAGGAGATACAAGGTGGGGCTAAAACGGCAAAATAACAGCATAATGTAGTTTAAACCTGTCACTGTTAGAAACTGAGCTGCAATAGAAGCATTTCAAACTTTTAGAATGGGAAAGCCAGTGTGGTGTACTGGTTAGGAGCGTTTGGCTGGGATTCAGGAGATTCTAGTCCCACTCAGCCATGGAGATCACTAGGTGACTTTGGGCCAGTCACAGACTCACAGTCCAATCTACCTCACAGGGTTGTTGTGAGAGAAGGATTATGTAAGCCACCTTGAGTTCCTTCAAAGGAAAATAGGTGGGATATAAATATAATTAATAGCAATAAAGCAAGTTCCTGAAAACTGGAGAACCACATTGCTCTGAAGATAATATAGCACTAAGGAAAGGAGGATAGCCAAGCAGCTGAAACCCACCTCTCTCTACTCACCTCAAAGGGAAGGGACACAGAGTGGCTGGGCACCCCCAGTAGGGATCGGGGAAACAGGGCAGGAGGTGACTGTTCTTGCTGCTTGATCTGTGTGCCTCCTTTCCAAGGAAGAACCATACTCACAAGCAATCTATCAGTTTTGGCAGGCAAATGGGGCAGGGAAGAGGATTACAGTGGTCGAAAGTGTCAAATTTCAGCCGATTGTCTTGCTGTCCCTAATACTCCTGCATTATCTCTTGGAACTGAGCGGAGTGGCAGAGGGACACAACTCCTTTGCTGTGCCAGATCAGCTTTAGGCATAGGGGAGTTTAATCTGCGGTGAGGCAGTGGGTAAAATTCCCAGCGGGATTAAAGTGTCCTGCAAACTCTTCTACTGTATTAACATTTACATTGGGCTCTCCACTACAACCCAAAAATCCCTTTCCTGATCAGTCACTGACATCACAGATTCCATTAATATCTATTTGTTTATTTAATGTCCCCACTGCCTCATATTCGAAGTGCTGTCAGCAGTTGACAACGGAGAATATGTATACGTGAATTTTTACTGCACAGTCCCACATTTTTTAAACAATCCTCCAAATCTAAACACTGAATAATTTAAGGTCAGCTCTTCTAAGACAGTACCTGCCACCCATGGATTTGCAATTACTTACATGAAAAATATCATTTTTCAAAAAAAACTACCTAATTGGGGGTCTCTTTTTTAATCAGTTTCGGGTACAGTCCTATGCATGGTTGGCTAAAAAGAGTATCTTTAAACATGCATGCCTCAAGCAATCATAGTGGCCCGGGCACGCTCGGATTGGTAACGTATTTTATTCTCTCTAAACAATCATAGGATGGCACCCTTACTCGCCTTCCAAGGCAATTAAAAAAAAAACTCCACTTCGAAAGTTAGGCGCGCGCGGGCTTGCGGACCGCCCCTTTCTCCCCTCCTCTTCTCGCCCCCCCCCCCCCGACAAGTAGAAGCAGAAGTTGCTGGTGCCGTGCCATTGGCCGTAGCTGAGGGGCCCGCGTCACGTGACGGGGGTGCGGGCAGGGTCACGTGGTGCGAGCGATGGCTGCTCCCGGGGAGCGAGAAGCGGGCGGCGCGGCCGAGGAGGCGTTTCTCACCTTCTACACGGAGGTACGGAGGGCTCGCGCCTCCCCCCCGAGCGGCTAAAGCTTCCTTCAGCCTGGGGTCGTGCTCCGTCTCGGCCGCGGCGCTGGCGCTCAGAGCTAGGCTGGCCTCTTCCCGCCCGGCTGGGCCTCTTCCTTTAGGCCGGTGAAGGTCCCTAAGCAGGGCTGCGGTTCCTGGTCCGCCCGATGACCTGCTTTCCCCCGGCGCTGCTTTCCCCCTGGAAGTGGAGGGCCTTGTATTTTGGGGTGGAGGGTGGGGATGTGCTCAGTGGAGATACCGTTTTTGGGCCCAGTGGATAGGCCCGGCCTGCTTTGGCATAGACTATGTGATGGCTAGCCTGTGCCGTTGCCTACCAAAACCCAGGCCCATAGGCAGAATTCTTCTGGTGAGCGAGAGAAAGGGGAGAGAACGCCAGTCGGACTTAAAAGATCAATAATCATTAGTTCTAACGTTATTTATAGGGCAATCCTAGCCTGTTTATGCAGAAGTAAATCTGCCTGTGGAAGTCACTGGGGCTTGCTTTCAGAGGTGTATATTTTGGATTATTGATGCATAAACAGTTATAGGGTGCCTGGGTTATAGGCAATAAAATATGTTGGCACAAAAGGAACAGTGCTGATTGAGACAGCAGAGCAGGGGACTTTGGAAGGCAGATCTCCTCCTGTCACCTAAACAGTTTTTCCAAGGTTGTGGCAGGAAATCCATTTTTTCACCCTCAACGACCCAACTGACCAGCCCTGATTTAGCTGATTTAATATTCCTTCATAGGCATCGAATAAATACATGGGGTCGGTGCTCCAGTATTGTCCCTGCATTCTAAGTTGTGCAACCTACACAATTAAAGAAAAGTGGAGATGATGGAGGCAGTCTTGCAAGACCACAAAGTGTCTTGCAAAGATGTCTTAGCAGGAGTCTGTTACATACATAGTCATTAGCTTGGGGTTTGCTGTCTGTATAGCCACTCCTTTCATGCAGTTTAACTACATGTAACTGTAGTTATTAATATTCTAATCTCTGCAGGTGAAACAAATAGAAAGGAGAGATTCTGTTTTAACATCAAAAAACCAGATTGAGAGGCTTACTAGGCCTGGGGCATCTTATTTCAATCTCAATCCATTTGAGGTGAGTTCTAAGTATATTCTCCTTGTTAATTGTCTTACCATTGCACTTCTGTATCTTCTGATAATTTTTATATGATTTAAAATGTATTGGGGTAGGTATCTAGGTATTTATACAGTGCCTATTATGTTACTCCAAGTTGCGTATAACCTCTTAATAGCAGGCATTAATCATTATGTGGTTGTTGTTATCCCCAGTAAACAACTGACCCTTTTTCTCAGGAGCTGCGTCGTACATTCTCATACCTGACTCTTCAGCATTCACTATTTGTGACTAATGAAAATCTTGACCACCCTTTAGAGCTGAATTACCGAAATAAACAGCCACATCCAGGTTATGCATTCTAGCAGGACTTTTTCGGTGCAGTGGAATAGAAGAGAAACATTGCCATTCCTTTTCATCCACCCTTTTGCAAGTTGTGCCTTAATGGCACACTGCAACAATTTTTTCATTCTTATGTTCTGTATTTGGAACTGAGTGGGACCACCAACAAAATTCTGCCGTGTGAAGTGCCCCTGTTCAGAATGCCCTGCTATGTCATTCTCTTTTTGACAATATCCCATTTCATTTGCCTTGTCATATCCTGCCCTGATTTTACACACATACCTGCAACAGTCAGTCTTCTGTGACCACTGAGCATATTCAGTCTTCACTGGGCTATTTTGTGGATATTGATTTATTTGAAATATTTCTAAACCATTTCCTGTTTTAAAGGCCCCACAGCCATTTATGGCAGATTATGAAAAAGCAGTAATCTCTCCCCCAAGGATTTTTCCCCTTAAGTATTTTTATATTTCTGTAAAATCTGGGGCTCCTTCAACCTTTCTTCTTTTTTTTCTGTATATGATTCTGTTTTGGCTATATAAATATCCACACCCGGAGAATAAATTTACTATTAGTATATGGAATTTGTCAAGGAAGTGACTTCTATCCATTTACCTGCCTTTTTGCTAAAGGAAAGTTGTACATCAAAGCATAGAAACTGGCATTTTAGTTCTAGCTGAATGAGCAGAAATGTAACCTCAGGGGAAAGTGAGGCAGAAGTGTACCTTTGTGCTATGTCCAGGGATGTAACTGTTTTGCTGGAGAAGCATTAAGTAGTATGTGGGAGTACAGATGCTCAGAACCGGAGCAGCTTATCATGTTGCTTTGGTCTCTTCTAGGTGTTGCAGTTAGATCCTGAAGTTACAGATGAAGAGATAAAGAAAAGATTTCGTCAGGTATCTGGCTTTAGCACTGTTGACAATCTTGTAGTATGAATGAACAGAACATCATGACAATGGTTGGGAGAGGCAAAAGTACTTCGCAATGGCAACATTCAATAATGCGTTTCTTCTGCAGTGTAAGCATACGTTCCAGCTAGGCTTGTTGCTATGTCTTTCTTTATGACTAGCAGAGTATGTTCAGTTGCATGTCTGGCCAGACTACTCAGTCTAATACACATTTGGCTGTGTGCTGAGCTAACATAGAATCTGCTAGGAATGGGATATTTCCAATTTCAAATCTCACTTCTGCTATGAGCTCACCTGGTAGCCTTAGGTGAACCACAGGCTCTCAACCTCAGGTACTATATAAATATCATTAATGCTTGGGTTGGGGCATGTCCAAATGGTTATAATTTGAGAGGTCAAACACTCAAATGTTTCATTGCTTTGAATATTTGCAGACTGGGGCTACAGAGTATTTCAACTTATGGTGGTCACCCAGCGTATTTGTAAATGTACAGTGTATCAGTCCACCGAGCATCTTACGTTTTTTTGGTGGAGTTACAGTGCTGAGGTTGCTGGTTTGCTGAGATTTGGGAAACTGTCAGAGAATAATTAACTCTTAAGGATTGAGCGTTACTTTATTAATACACCATGTGGAGAAGAAGTTGGGCATTGTGATACATGTGTATACCTGTGACTGCTGTGATAAGTTTATTTGCACCCTGATTTGTATCTTACAGCTATCCATTTTGGTTCATCCTGACAAAAATCAAGATGATCCTGAAAGAGCACAGAAGGCATTTGAAGGTACTTCCCCGACTTTTCTGTGTTTGGAACTCGAGAGCCAAATGGGCATGGTGGATCTTTATTAGAGCTAGGAGAGATGTGTGCTGCTTCTGTTTCAGATTTCTAAAAGTTAACATGGTTTTGTGTTTTCTCAAGTTCTGGCCACTTAAGCAGGTGTAGAGTCCTCTTATATGTATGTGCTGATTACAATGTTTGGTTTGTCAGCTGTTGACAAAGCCTACAAGTTGTTGCTGGACCAGGAACAAAAGAAGAGGGCCTTGGATGTGATTCAGGCGGGAAAAGAATATGTGGAGCACATTGTAAGTACCATGTGTATAACAGTCAGCCTGTGATCTGAGGGAGGGGATCGAGCTACTGTGTATGGTGCCCAGGGAAGGTTTTCTACTATGTTTGGTAGTGTTTGTGTCTTAAATGTGGATTTCCAGATCTAAGAAGTAAACGGACTAAGATGTTTATTCATTGCCATTACAATGGTGTTGTGTTGACTGACTGTTTTAACGTGACTGTTAAAATGGATGGAGAGGCCATGACAGTCTGCAAGCTCTCACATTTCTGTGTTCCTTAATTGTGATACCATTTTAGGCAAAAGAGAAAAAGAAACAGTTAAAGAAGGAAGGCAAGCCAACCAATATAGAAGAGGATGATCCAGAAGTAGTAAGTTGACCAGCTTTGCAAAGCTGGAGTATGCCATACCTGGGATGTATCCCATTTATCATTTAGGAGCATTTCATATCTTGGAATATTTCAGGCATGGAGGAGGTTGTAGCACCTCTTATGTCTGCTGCCAGGAGGTGCAAGAGACTCAGTGAAAACCCCACTCTTTGAGCATTTGACTTCTAGCTGTCTGGCAGCTATTCCTTCTGAGAACAGCCAAGGCTCAGAGATTCTCCAGGAGAACAACAGTGGAACATCTGAGGCCTGTGGGGAGTCCTGAAAACCCGGTTGCCCCTGATACCTCTTGCACCAGGAGCTGAAAGCGGCAAGAGGTGGTGGTGGTAGCCTGAATGAGGAAGCCCAGCCTCGTGAGGGAATCTTAATGGCCTCAATATTCGTCTCCGGGATTGCTGCAGATTTTCGGAGGCCCTGGGAAAACTACTTTCCCAGTAAGCTTGCCATGTGTATGCGTATTCATGGCAGTGGGTGCTGCCACTTAGATTTTGTATAATCCTCTGCCGCAATGCTGCATGGTGGGGCATTGTCAGTGGCAGCACTCGCAGACCCGGTGCACAGCGTGACCTAGCTATCCCCATGCAGTAATCACACTATATCTAATTGTTCCTATCTAGCCACTTGCCACTCCCGTGAATACTGGGGGAGGGGATTAGAAGGGATCCTTGGGGCTTCACAGGCTTGTTCCCAACAGCAGGTCCTGCTGGGATGTTGCTGGCTTGGCCTCTTTCATTGTATTTAAATATTGTAAGCTGTCCAGAGAATTCCTGTCGATAGGGAGGTTATGTAAACTTTCAGACATGCAAATATAGGTGTGCGTTCTTTGCGTCCTCTCCCTTTTTGTCGTATTTGTTTCCAGTATGACTTACTGTTTTTTGACTGGGGTTTTAGTCACCTCCACCCAGCTATAAAGCCAACTGCATTCTTTATAACTTGACTACAATATATCATTGTAAGACTTCTCTGCGGTAAACTAGTTGTGTAATGGATTGGTAATTGGAAGGGTGCCATTTCATGCTCCAGCCTATGGTGTTTCTTATCTTAGTGTTCATGCAGAGGGTCACTTTATTCTGTGTGTGCTCCTGCGGCTGGGGGAGATCTAGTTTTCACTTCGTTAAGGCGATTGAACTGAAAAGTTAAGTTAAATCTGTGTTTTTTTACAGTTCAAACAAGCAGTATACAAACAGACAATGAAGCTCTTTGCAGAACTTGAAATTAAAAGGAAAGAAAGAGAAGCAAAAGAAATGCATGAGAGGTAGGAATAAAACTGGGATCCTATTTTGTTGCTTGAATCAAGGCCTATGCAACTTAGAAGTTTTAGTGCTCCTAAGCAGTGTCTGAAACCTTGGTTGTTGGAGTTTTCCTAAAATAAATTTGGTGGGAATTCTTGAATAGAAGAATTATTATTTTATTAAACATGTTGATAGCTCTCAATTC